GGTGGCACCGGTGGCACTGGCACAAAGGCAGTCGCTGCCAGCTGTCCTGGGAATAATAACGGGATGGGTGGGAGAGAGGATGGGGATGTGCGGTGAGATCTGGGTGCTGCAGCTCAGCCATCGAAACTGACACTAAGTGGTGTTTTCATGCCAGGTGAGAATGGATAAGGAATGGAAGAGGAATGGAATAGCATAGAGTCAGAAACAGAACTAGAGCAAGAAATAGAATGGATGTAAGGGCCGTTTCAGCTGCCAGAAAACCCGAATTCTTCTTGGAATCTCTTTATTACAGAAACGTGAAGAGTGAGGTTGACTCACCTTGGGTTTGCTCCCACTGATTTCTAGAGGAAACAGGAAGGGAACAGAGCAGCCTATCTTGTTTCTGCTGCAATACAAACTCCTCTGAGTCACTGCCCTTCCAAAAGCATTGGCTTCTCTCATGCCTTCAGACCCACCAATCTTTCCTGTTTGTCTAAACAGGAGGAATTTAACAAAAAGCTGCAATTTCTTGCCAAGAAACCTTGGTTTCTTAATGTACGAGAAACAAAGCATTTTAGTCCTGAGGTAAGACTTATTATTCCCTCCAAATAAGCTTTATTTGCAGGGGCAGCAGAACATATGAGCATCACTGAGAGTCTGGGTAGGCTTTCTAGCTCCAGTGTTACTTGGGCCCCACTAGGATCAGTGACTCTGAAGCCTTTGGGCTCTGCTTGTGGAATCCTCTGGAGAATGACAAGTCCAGAGTTACTTTGTTCTAAATGCCTTTTTTTTATTTATTTCATTTAAGCATTTGTCACTGATTTGAATGAAGTGCCCTAGAGTAAAGGTCCTCTCCAGCGTTCCCGTCCACAGGGCTGGACAAGATGCCAAAGCAGGTAAAAAAAACCCCAGGAATTCTGTGTGCTAATTAAATTTTACTGCCAGGAGAGAATTCTTGGCTTGTTTCCATACAGTCAAGATTCAGTAACTGCTGATGAATATTCACCCTGATTTCATGAACTGACTGGACCTCTTAACTGTGAGTTTGAGCTGTGTTACTAACACCAGGCACTGATTTTGGCTGTGCCCTTGGCTATAACAGGGCAGAGGTTAATGCAGGCAGCAAGCACATCCTTCAGTAAAAGGGGTGGACACAGTAGGTATCTGAAGTGATTGTATTTTCAAATATTGTTTCATTTTTGGCTATCACCATCTCTTAAGTGAAGCAATGCTGAGCAGGGGGAGCAGGGGAACAAAAACTTCCTCAGCTCTTGCAGTATCAGCTGCACAATGAACTGAACTTGACTGGTGCCAGTGTAACACAGGAACACATGGGGGCACAGGGAGAATGGCAAATTGGCAAAAACTCATCAGGTCCATGGAGTATTTCCTAACTGTGCACGTCTGTTCTCTGAAAGCAGCAAGTGCTTAATGCTCATTCAGAGGAGAACAGCAGAAATCACTTGGATGGCAGTGCTTAATTGTGTTGCTCAGCTTTTTTTTGCCCCTTACTGTGTAAAATTCTGTATTACTGGAAATGAAGTACTTATGCTGTCTGCAAAAGATAATCATGCTCCTAAATGAGTACATTACTGAGGCTTTTTTTCCTTTAGAAACATGCTAATGGAGGTTTGCAGTATATTTTCTCCTTTGTTAATGAACTTGGCTCATGGAGTGGGAATGCTGCTAAATTTAGCATTTTCTGTATAAACAAGGTGATACTGCTCATTGCCTTGCTTAACTTGTAATACAGGTGAACAGGAAGAAGGTGAAAAGGAATACCTAGAATAAAAATAAATCAGGACTGGCATCTTTTCCCTTCTTCATTTGCCTTTCTAGCCTCTCCTTTCCCCCAGAAATGACAAACAGGACCTGGAATCTCTTCTGGCTAGTTTTGCATTATGTTTGTACAACAAATGTGTCCTTCCAACTGATACTGTCAAGGACATGGGAGCCCAGAGGCTAAGATTTAAATACTTCACATGATTCAAAGGGGACAAATCTTCAGGTAATGTAGGGCAGCTCTTTCAACACCAGCAGTTACTCTCCCCTGGCTGTGATGTGTGCACTCTGCAGCTTCACCCTTGGGGCTCTCAATCTCTACTCTGAAAATTAGTCTCTTCTAGAGAAACTGCATTTGTGTTGGTCCCACAGCAGCTTTCAGCTGGACTTCAGCCTCTGCAGCCAGTCCTTCCTGCCTCCCTCTGCCCAAGGCAGTGTTTGGATTGAATGCATGGCATTCACAGGCTTAGGAATGTACAAGTGTCTCTGTGCTGAACAACCTGCAAAATTTCAAGTACCAGGCAGTGTGAGTCTAAGGACACTTCTCTGAGTGCCTGTGCTTACAGGCAGAGTCACCAGTGATGAGCTCAGGTTACAGTGTTGTCAGCCTGCCATCTCTCACCTGCCACAGAATACTTCCCAAAAATCAGAGCATCCCGTGGGAACCATTGATGCAGGGGGAGGGCAACTGGGAGGAAGAGGAGCTCAAACATACTAAGGTTCTGACTCCTGCTGAGGCTGAACTTCGGTGGTGTGGAAGCAGTAGAAGAGCTGGAGTAGTGAATGAAGGGAAAGTCCAGCTGTGTTCAGCCTTTGACTGGTGCTCATCTGACATCCCCTCTAGGAAAATGGCCACAAAGAAAATTCTCTCATTCAGAATGACCTCAGTGAATCATTTGAAGAAGAAGTTAGAGCCTTCCTCAGTGATGAAGAGAAACTGTATCTGTTTGATGACCTCACAAAAGTTAATCCAGTGACAACGACAACAGGTAAGGAACCAACCAGGGGAACATCTCTTGAGTCACTTTCCCTGGAGGCTACTGATAACGTGGTAGTTCCTGCTCTCATTGCATTAATACTATAATGAACACAGTAGTTAAAGATTCAAAGCCTATTGAAGCCTATTCAGAACCTTTGAAAGTCACACTTGGCTGAATTTTGTTTGGTGTAGCCTTGCTGCTGTCTTATCAAGCAGAGCTCACATGGGTATTGTTGGTTCTGATAGCCAACAATAGGTGTGGTTGAAAGTTAATGCCATTGCACACTCCTGTGTGACCTTGGGATTGCAGTTTGGTGCTCCCTGAACATGTCAGAAAATGGGGCTCTAATTTAGATTCCAAATACATCTATGAAATTGGTCTCAAAAAGTAAATTCCTCACGTCTGTTAGGAGAAACTGAGGCCTGTTCCTAGCAGAAATGGAGAGGTCTTGCCTGTTTGTTCTGCAAGGGAACAGATTTTCTTTCTAGGACTACGTGAAACCCCCCAAAAAGCACAGGATTTATTGACTGGAACAGCAGATCCCTTAAGAATTTTAGAAATAAGAGCAACTCGTAAAGACATTGTTATGTATATCAGACCTCTATCACTCTCCTGATCACCTCATTCTCTATTAAACCTCATAGGTAACATACCTGAAGATTTCTGTTCCAAACAGGCACAGCAAGAGTCAAATACAGTTTGCAAAAGATGCTAATAGCAGGTGTGTCTTTCAGTTCTGAAGTGTCTGCAAGCAAGATACAAAATCAACTCATTTTATACAAATGCTGGCTGCAGCCTGGTGGCTTTAAATCCATTTCAGCCTGTCTCCTGCCTCTACTCACCTGAGCTTATGAGAGAGTACCATGTTGCACTTCGTCTTCAGGTAATCCTCATATTTGCACTAACTGTCCTTCTGCAGAACCTGATGTCAGACTCTTCCAAATACTCCTGAAGGGTAAACTCCACCTCTAGAGAAACAGGAGAGCTGTTAAAAGAGCAGTCATGTTTTCACAGAAATGTGAGGTGACCTGTGAAATCCGTTGCTGTTGAACTGTGTCATTACTGTTCTCCTAAACACAGATGTTCTCTTTCCTCACATCTTTGCAGTGGCTGAGCAAAGCTACAGAAACGTCCAAAACCAGATCGAGCCTATAAACCAGTCCATCATTGTGAGTGGAGAAAGTGGTGCTGGGAAGGTAAGAAATTTTGGTTTATGACATTGCTCTTGAGTTTTGAGATCTGCTCTAGTGATTTGTAGTGCAGAGTTCTGCACTGAGCAAGCAAAGATGAAGAAAAAGCCCCGTGACAGAGCACGTAGCCAGTCTGCTCCAGCACGACTCTCTTGAAATGGGTGTGCAGCATTAAGTGATTGCTGCACTTAAATAGACTCTGCCTAATATAGCTGCTCTTCAGGTGACATCTGTAATTTCTGGGAGGGCTAGGTTTGAATCATTCAACAGGAATTGCACCCCAGTTCATGTCTTGTGTGGAGACTTAGGAGTGGACAGCTCAGATCCTGTCCTGGGCCCTTGTGATGGTCAGGACAATACTGGGGATATTTTTAAGCCTGAGAACAAGATGAATGTTAATGACTCAAAATCCATTTATATTCAATTCATCTTAAGGTACTGACTGTTAATTCCAGCTGAGCTCCAGATGGTGACATCTCCATAGAACTGCTGTTCAGCAAAGCACTCCCACTCCAACAGCACTTAAATGTGTGTCTGTGGCACATGAGCACGTGCATATAGAGTTTCCATACTCTCTTTCCACTCTCCTTAGTCTCAGCACTCGCTGCACAGTTTCCAGAACTCACACTGTGTCACACACTGACAGAACTAATAACATGGGAACAACAAAGACTTATTGTCAAACCTCTCTCTTGCAGACCTGGACCTCTCGCTGCCTTATGAAATTCTATGCTTCTGTTGCTGCTTCAGTTATCTCCCCAAAAGGCAATGAAACTGTGGAAAGGATAGAGAAGAGAGTGTTAGATTCCAACCCTGTCATGGAAGCATTTGGTAAATGAGACTTTTTTCACACCCACAAGAAGTAATGGCCACTGTGGGACTTGTCTTTGACAATGCACAAGTCTAAGCTACCTCCTGGTGCTCTCCCTAAAAATAAACTCTTCAAATACAGGAGCTCTGTGCAAATCCCCCTTAATATGTGTATGTCCTGTATGGGAGAGTGGCACCACTCTGATGACTCTGTCACTGCAATCCCACAGGGAACGCGTGTACCCTGCGGAACAGCAACAGCAGCCGCTTTGGGAAGTACATCCAGCTGCAGCTAGACAGGTAATAAGCACTCTGTAAGCCCTTACCTGTTGTCTTGTTCCTTTAAATCCTTGCCAGCCTGCTTCTGAGGTCTGCCATAGGATATTTTATCTGCCTTTAGAGCATGTTTTGGTTTGCTTGCAGTTTACACTGTTCGTATTTTCCCTTCTTTTTCTGCAAACTCTCACCCTAATCTCTCAGAGAGAGCAGTGGGAGAACAGAGCTGCAGTCAAGAGGTCTGAATAAAATGTTACATTAGTCTTGCACAAAACTGAAGGTCAACTGCAAAGCACTCACAGTGGGTTGTTCTCCTAACAACACAACTCTTGGATTCAGTGAAGAGGTTTTGTTGAAACCTGTGCTCTTTTTCCCCTTCTAGATTCCATCACCTGAGTAGTGCTTCCATTCAGACTTACCTTTTGGAGAAGACCAGAGTTGCCTATCAGGCCCCCAATGAAAGAAACTTCCATATTTTTTATCAGGTTTGCCTTCAGTTCCTTTTGCTGGATATTTCTGACAAATCACCAGGTTTAGCACAGCTACAACTTTTAATAATTAACAGCTTCCCTGTCTGCCAGTTTCCAAATTAAATCATCCTCCCAGCATGTTATTCTTCATTGTCTGTGAGCTGTAAATACCAAAGGCACAATCTTTACCTTGGTTTCTGTCCCCAGATCACAAAAGGTGCTACTGCAGAGGAGAGGCTGGAGTGGAACCTTCCAGAAGGGGCTGAATATCGCTGGCTGCCAAATTCTGAAAGAAACTTAGATGGTAAAGATTAGTTTTAGTGTCCATTAACAATGGCTGTAGCTTTAAAGGCAAGCAGGCAAAATTATGTCCTGCTCAATCCCATGACCCAGGCTGGGCAGCCACAGCAGACATTGTGCACAGTCACCTGCACTAATGGGATTCTTTTTAAGATTCAGTTTGCACTCTTAAGTCTTAAAACTTAATCAGTCACCTGGCTTAAAACAGCTGCTCCTGGCCTGGCCAATTTGCATCCCTGTGGCTATGTTTAGAAACTGTCTTGTCTTTGGATGTCTCAGCAACCTGTGCGTGACTTGGGAGCCACAGAGGCAGAAAGAAGTCAGTGACTTAATTCTCCAGCTCGTACTCTGGAATTTACCAAAGGCATCTGTTTTCCTTGGACTCCTTTGACAATTCCAGCTGAACTGGATGTGCTGTGTGTTCTGCTCACCCACGTGTGTGTGCATGGCTTGCTTTTAAATAGCACTTGTTTGGCTTTTCAGAGGACTGCTTCGAGGTGACCAGAGATGCAATGTTTCACCTGGGCATTGACCACGCCACGCAGAACAATATTTTCAAGGTCAGCTACATGGACAGCAGGAGGCTCTAAGGATGTTTGGAATATCTTTGTAGCATGGGATTGCTGCAGGACTTAATATTATCTGTGCAGAGCCAAATATTAGATCTTAACTACAACCCTGCACCTGTGAACTTCAGCTTTCCTTCAGGAATTGCAGCGTTAGGGATTAACACAGAAGCTTGGAATAGATTTGCTTTTGTTGTGCAGAAATGTTTTGACTTGTCCTGCTTGTGTAGCTAAAGGAAGGCTCAGAGTACACTGCCTTGGAGGGGAGTTCTGGTTTAGAAAACTCACTGATTGGTTGTATTTCAGGTATTATCAGGCCTGCTCCATCTTGGGAACGTCCAATTCTCGAATCCAGTGGATGAATCTCAGCCTTGTGAACTAGAAGAGAACACTAAAGGTGAGACAACAAGCTGCCATGCTGCAGAGTCTTGTTATCTTGATGCCTAATGGGAGGGATTGCTATGCTCCTCTGCTGATAGGAGACTATCAAGGTCATGAGCAAACCAAAATTTAAGCATGTCTTTGTGAACAAACAAAGACCTAATGCTCTGAGAGATAATATCCTTCTGTTACAGGTCAAGGCAACTGCAGCATTAGACAGTCATTTCAGAGGGATTATTGGCAGAACTGTGACTCTTGATTGTAATCTCAGGCTGATATGACAAGGCTTGCAGAATTGTGACCCAGAGTGGAAAGGAAAGCTTTTAACATGAAAGCTTTGAAGTTTGCATGATCAAGACTAAAACTTAGTAACAGCAAATCTGTTCAACTGCAACACAGAACTTAGGTTGTTATGTCTTTAAGAGGCTTGTGGATCTAGTTTTCCTTCAGAGCCATACCCAGAGAGTACTCCAAAATGCCAACTTCAGACTTTTTTTGGTATTGATTCATTTTAAACAGAGTACCTGAAATTCTAGGGGTACTCTGCATCCAAATGAAGCCTCTGATCTTGCAAAACTTACTCCCAGATTTGGGAAAAAAGATCCAAAATCCACATTTCAGTTGGTGACTTCATGGAAGTGTCATTTTTTCTACACTATCTCCAGACCTTCCATACCTTCAAAGGGGCTGCATTGCTCTGACCCACCAGGTAACCTTGCAATGTTTGTTCTCCTGAACAGATTTTGTGAAGACCACTGGAGATTTGCTGAGGATACCTGTGGAGGAACTACTGGAATCCTTAAGAATCCGAACAATAACTGCTGGGAAACAACAACAAGTCTTCAAGAAGCCATGCTCCAGAGCTGAGTGTGAGACCAGGAGGGACTGCCTGGCCAAAGTCATCTACGCCAGGTAAGGATGTGCTAATCCCTGTAATTTCTGGGAGGGAGTATGGAGGCCAGAGAGATTTGCTTTCCCTGGCTTTCTGCATGGACTCAGCAACTCTCCCCTTCCTTCCCCTCTCTCCACACCTTGATGCTGTTGTAGATACTGACTAGTATCCAACAGCCCCTCAGAGTGCTGCTGTTCCAGGTCAGCATGTCAGAAATTGCAATTTCTTCCAAGTGATACTGGTAGAAACAGCAGTAAAAGAACAGTCTCTGATGGTTGTAAGCAAACAGTTCCCAACTAACCCCTTTGTCATTGTCTGCAGGTTGTTTGAGTGGCTGGTTCTGGTCATAAATGGAAGCATCTATGCAGACCCAGCAGCATGGAACAGCTTCATAGGTCTGGATATTCCACCCTGCTTGGACTGACTGTAAGTCCTTTAAGCTACTCCTAGAGCAAAGCTTACTATCTTCCCACATTCCTTCTAGGTTTGTTGGATGTTTATGGTTTTGAAGCCTTCCCTGAAAACAACTTGGAACAGCTCTGTATTAACTATGCCAATGAGAAGCTGCAGCAGCACTTTGTAGCACACTATCTGAAGGCACAACAGGTAATACTCCACTACGATAAAACCTTAAAAATCTGATTTTAAACCAGCAGATTTTGTCACTTGGGTTGTATTTCTGTGCCTGTGGTCAGATTGCAACCTCCAGCCAGGAAGCAATGCCACAGGAATCAGTGGGATGAACAGTGGCTTTTTTAAGAAGAGTGTGGTGGAATGGCACAGCTTTGTCTCTTAGGGACTGGAAATCTGCTCCCTGTTATCAGCTCCATTGGATCTGTGCCTGTTAAACTTTTGCTTGTCCTCAGAGCTGAACACTTAAGACAAAACTCTTGAGCTAAGTGTAGCCTAAATTGAGATTCTCTTGGAAGCTGCTGCCTATAGCCATGTTGATCCTCTTCGGCAAGCATAAAGTCCCTGTGGGTGGGGAGCTGCTAGGCTGAGCTTGGTGAGAACACAGAGAGCCCAACAGAACTTTGTAACCCAAACACCAACATGTGGTACCTGTGGAGACCTTCTGCCTCACAGCTCCAAGAACCCACCTGTCCTGCTGGTACCTTGAAAGACAAAACCACAGTGTGCAGCAGCTTTCAGTTCTGATGAGGAAGGTACACACATTGTGTTGTTTCACAGCAGAGAAGGTATTTGTCCCGTGCTAAAGACACTGCAGTCCCTTGCCTGGCTGCTCACACTGACTGCATTTCTCATCTGGGTGCTCTGGAAAGCACAGGGCCCTGCCAGACTGCAGATACATTACCACAATGCTCTTTGCCATTAACTGGAATCTGGGAAATTATTTTCCTTCTGGCAACCAGCACAGTGGCATCTCTTGCCTCATGGCAGTTTTGTCAATATATTCAGGAGATTAAGTATTTCTTTGACTACAATTTGTACTTTCATATTCCCAGCCTGGTTTTTTTCCTGCCTGCCTTTGTTGGTATTCCAGGGGTTAATGGCCAGTGGAGATGGAAACCAAGTTGAAGCACACAATTACTTTCCTTGAAGCTGATCCATGACCTCTGTTTATAGCACCCCTCCCAGTCACTGCTGCCCTCTTACCTCTCTCCATCTGGCTGTGTCCCAAACCACTTAAATGCCATTAGTGGCTGTGCTGAGCAAGCTTTTGGCAGGAGGCTTTTCAAATAACTGCCCAGAGCCTGTGCTTGTTAAACACTCCTGACAGTTTGTTCTGTCATTCAGCATAAATATTGTACAAATTCTTTCAACCCATATCTCTGCACTTCCTCCTGGATCAGCCTTTGTTTTAAATGGAGCCCAGTTGGTGAAGTCTGGCACACAAGGGTTGGTTCAGGACTGTGTCCCAGTCTCAGTTCTGTCTGTTCCTTACCCTTCAGGGCAAATCTCAGCCCAGCCAGGAGAGGCTTTGTGTGACTGGAGCCTCTGTTTACTCTCTGCAGCAGCTCTGAGGTTCCCAAATACCCAGGCAAACTGTTCCAGCAGGATCTGATCCAGACTCAAAAGTTACCTGGGGTAGAATATCCTTTTTAATTTCTTTCTCAAGCTTGCTGTTGAACTGGAGCTGAGCTTTGGGTGAGCAGCTGAGCTGGGATTAGCTTGTTAAACAGTAACTACAGGAGCTGCACAAGCCTCAGTCCCAGGCTCTGGTGCCCTCTGCTGCAGAATGACCCTTTCCTTCTCCCTTCAGGAGGAATATGCAGCTGAAGGCCTGGAGTGGTCATTCATAAACTACCAGGATAACCAGAACTGCCTTGATCTGATAGAGGGAAATCCTCTCAGCATTTTTTCCTTGCTGAACGAGGTAAGTGTAATCTAAATCCTTCTTTTTTTTTGGCCTAGTTTCCTGCCTTTGTCCCACACCACCACAGAAAACATGAACACTACATTAGCAGGAAATGTGCCAGCTGTAAAACTTTTGCAGAGCTTATTTTTCAGAGTAATCATTACACTTCTTCCTAGTCCACATTGTCTTTTTCCCTCTGGTCCTGGATGTTCTGATTCAAAGATGAAACCTCAATGACTATTTCCCTCACCTGCCAATGTTTCAGGGTTTGCATACTCAAAGCAACTCTAAAGTAAACTGGCTGTAATTTTAATTTAGAGCATTTTTAGCTTTTCAAGTAAGTTCCTGATGAGAAATAAGAGCTGCTGCAATTGTCTGTCTGCAGGAGTGTCGTCTGAACAGATCCTCCAACACTGACCTGTTCCAAACTCGGATCCAGAAGGCCTTGGCTAGTAATCAGTGTTTGAGTCGAGACAAGTTTAGTAAGAAGCCTAACTTCATCATTTCTCACTATGCTGGTAAAGTCTGCTATCAGCTGGCAGCAATGGTGGAGAAAAATAAGGTAAGTGCAGAAAGAGCTGTTTAAAAAAAGATGATAAAATACCTTACAGACAAAAGGGATTTAAATCAAATCCCCACTAACAGGTGCATGCAGTGACGTGGATGGATGGACATACCTTGCTCCAAATAACTCCTTCAGGCCATGTAAAACTGGATAACATTCTTGGTCTGATTTTCAGTGAACCATCCCTGGCATGAGCAAAGGCTTTGTGAGACCTTCCAGCTGAGGATTAAGTGGACCATCACCAGATCAGAGCATCTTTCATTCCTGGGGCAATGCAGAACTGTTAATGGCATCAGGGCATTTCTGTAACAATAAATGTAGTGCTTCATTTACCCCAAAACGAGAGAGATTTATGGGAAACAACAGCACGGGCTCAGCTACTGAGAATTCTGGAAATACTCAAGTTTTGGCCTTGTTGTGCCATCAAGGAATAAGTGGGATGTGAAATAGTCTGCAGATATGAGAGTGACCCCCCAGCAATCGTGGCAAGTGCTGTCAGGTGATGCAATCAAATACCATCACTGAATTAAAAGGAGTGTTTCCAACAGACTAACATCTGCTGCACTGTCCCATGGGGATGAAACCAGTCCTGGGATTGTGAGCTCACTTAAATTGTGTAATAAGAACAATGTTAGGAGCACTTGACAAGATTTGCTAAGTGTTCAGCCAAACATTGTTTTCTGTTCCTGAATCTGACTCTGAATGACTGTACTTGGTCAGATTTGAACCTGCAGCTGTGCTTACATCAAAGTTGGCATCAGAAATACTATTCCATCTGTACATGTGGAATTGTGAGTCCTTTTCAGAGGTGGCAGATTCCTGCCCAAGTCAGACACTAATGACTCATGTCTGTGTTTGCAGGATGCTGTTCCACCAGAGCTGGTCCATGTTTTGCAGAACTCTAAGGACCCTTTGCTTCAAAAATTATTTCCTGTGACAGAAGAGAACCAAAATAACATCAAACCCCAGAACAGAGCAGCTGTTGTTACAGTGGTGTCCAAGTTCAAGGTACATCCTATCAGGTTTCTGCTGCCATCATGACTAGATGAGAAAAGTGTGGTAGGATGAAGGTCAGTAAATGATGTAAAAATGAAACAGCTGTAAAACAGAAACAGCTTCAGACTCCTGGTGTCTCTCTGGATCTAAACTCACTCTGATTTTACCTTTACCTTTACCTTTTGGAGGCTTCTTCCTACCTGTGCCTCCTGAGGGGCTAACATCAACTGATGGCCCTGCTGTAATTGTGGAAAACTTCTGAATTTGCCATCAACAACTTGATAAAAACATCCAGAGTGGAAAGAGCTCTGACACTGAGTTGTAAATTCACCGTGCACTGTTTTTTTATAAGAGCACTGAGCTCCCTGTGGAGGAGGAGGAGGAGGAGTCCCTCACCAAAGCTGTGTTTATTTTCTGCAGAGCTCCCTGGAACACCTCATGCAGATTTTGCACAGAACCACACCACATTACATCAGATGCATCAAGCCCAATGCTGACTGCAAGGCAATGACTTTTAAAAGGAAAGAGGTAACTATTCCAAAGCTTTTCCTCACTGAGAAGTTTCCTAGGGGCATTGTGTGGGGCTTTGCTCTGGGTTTCGTAGGACCCTGAGTCACTTGCACAGCTCTTCTCACAGCACATTTTGAAGTAGCTGTAACTAGAGAACCTAATCTGACATAAAAACAAGCAGCTGGAGTAGGACAGCCTTAACTTTAAACACTTAGAATCTGCTGAGTGCCTGCAAGGAGTAGTAAAACACCAGCAATGCCTTTGCATGTGCTGCTGGATTGGGTCAGTGGGTAGCACAGGGCACACAAGGAGCAGCTTCCACACACAGTGTTACCTCAACTGTCTTGTGCCCCAGGTTCTCAGCCAGCTTGAGGCATGTGGAATAGTTGAAGCCATCACCATCAGTGCTGCAGGATTCCCTGTCAGGTAAGTCCAGACTCCTGGAGCAATGTCTTCCATAATCCATTCCTCTAGCAATTAGTGCTATATATTAGTGGCTAATATTAGTTATTCTGAAGAGCTTATAAACAGGAAACCCAAATATTTTGCAGCTTGTTTTTAACTTCAAAACTACTGATCCTTTCAAAGCTGTCTGAGAGCTCCCTGTGCCTTTCCAGCCTAAGAAGTTGAGGGAGAGATGTTTTGATGTGCACTGTCATGTGCTACAACTTTCTAACTGGATGTGGCTTCACAGCAACATTTTCAGCAATGAAGTTATCAATGGCATTTACCTAAGGGTAGTCACCTCAGAGCTGAGCAGCTCCTTGCAGGGCTTGCCTGACCACCGTTAGAGGCTGCAGAGGGCAATGCCTGAGCTGATCACATTTCTGACAGCTCAGCACTGATGGGTGAATCTCACCACTGTTGTATCCAAGCACAATTCCTGCCCAGTCCTTGCTACAGCCACTGGATCTGTGAAGTCATCCTGCAATTCCCCCCACAACAAAGGATATTTGCCATACAGTAATGACACTGGCCTGGCACTAACTGCCCATCTGTCCATCAGGATCCCTTTACAAAGCTTCACCGAGCGCTATAAAATCCTGAGAAGATCCTGTGGGTCCAGTAAGAACAGAGTGTGTGAGAAAAGCAACTGTCACCCTGCTGAGAAAAAAGGTGAGTTCCTTCAGGTAATCCTCAGCTAGCAAGTCAAATTACCACTGCACCCATCTGGTATCACATGGATCAGGTGCAGTTACTGTGCTCAAAATACTTCTCTAATCTATCACCAACTCGAGTTTCTAATTTGCCTAATGCTTAGAGCAGCTCTTAAAATCTTTCCTCTTATTGCTCTTTTCTGTGTTCCTCTTGAGCAGAACAATCACAGTTACAATGGTGTTTGGGGTTCCCCCAGCCGGTATGATTTGATTTAGAGCCAGTTCTTGAGCAGACTTGAAAACCACTCACCTTTTGGCTTATATTCCTTCTCCTTCCTTTCTTTTTTTCCCCCCTCCTTGTTTTTACGCCGAATCACTGACCTTCCAGCTTACCTGGATTCTGCTGCTTCTTCCACCCTTTGCAAACTTCTTTTCTCTAAGCAAGAGTGAGGATGGACTTTAAAAACCTCAATCCAGTCTACAAGGTAACACCTTTGCTATGAACCCTTGAAAGAAGGAGCTCCTCAGGTGGTCACATTTAGTCCTGAAGGTTACTGCAACCCTCATCTCTCTCCCAGATTCACCCTCTCCTCACCCAGTGGGTCTGTTCAATAACCAGTGGCTGTGGGCAGCAGGACCAGTAAGCACCAGCCTGTGCAGATAAATCAAATGGCTGCAAATCAATTCACCTTGTGGAAATGCAGTCAAGTAAGGAAGTAGAGGCTGGGAAATTACTTACATCCTATGTCTTTCCCTCTGAATTACTAACCCATTAGCTGCAAAGCCTCTTTGTGATAGGTTTTTTATCTTTAGGGGGTAATAAGCTGCAAACGAAGCAAAACAATTTCCCAGACACAGGGATAAGCTTTTGGTTCCCTTATCAGCCCAAGCCCCATGAACAGCCATCAGAGTCACCAGATGTCTTCCTGTAAGCAAAGATTGCTTCTATTTGTTTTCAGTGCCTTAAAATGCTCTCATCTCCTTAGAAATATTTAGAGCAGAAAAGCAAACAGTATCCAGGATGGAAGGCCACACAGCCCATCAGGCTCCAGCACTGGGCATGCAGGAACTCATGCAGCATTGCCTCTATCAAGGACAGGTCTGAATTAACTCTGCCTCTATTTCCAGACAGATTCACCTGGCTAACATCTTAGTCTCTTAATGTAAAAATCGTGCACTGTGGTCCAGAAATGGTTTTAATAACCTCTAATTGCTGCAATAAATTCCTGCTTAGTACATGACCCCATAGCTGCTTCTATGCCCTGGCACAGCTGTAGAATTGTGTAGAATTTCTTTCTCCTTCCTGCGCCTTTCAGTAGGTTCAGGCTGCTATTTACTCCTTGCTTTTTGTTCTTTGTTCCCACAGCTTTGAGTAGCTCATCAGATTTTCTTTAGACTGAGCTGCTCAATCTATTGTTAATTGCATTGCTATTGCTTTCTAATGTTTAACAAAGGGAGAACAGCTGAGCTCTCCCTGTGTCTGTTCCAGTCTAGATTTACCCCAAACGACACTTGTTACCTTTGGATAATAGAGGTTATAACAGAGATGCCAACACAGCCCCCAACTCCATCCCAGCTCTGCCCCACCAGGCTGGGGCTCTGGTTGGTGTCAGCTGGTGAACTCTGCTGCCACATTTTATCCTTAAACACCTGAGACTGAGTGCTGTGTCAGCCATCACCTCCTCCCCTCTTGCTGTAGCTGTTTCCCCCCCCAAAATGGCCAAGAAATCTCAGTGTAAAGACAATTCCTTGCTCCTGATTTCCAAGTTTTGTGACACTTTCTCCTCAACCTTCACATCCAGGTGAGACTGCAGTGATGGATGATGACAGAGCATCACGTTCTGCTGTCCTTGACATCCTTCTGAGTGTTCTCCCATGCCAAAGCAGTGCTGAGCAGACAGGGAATGGAGCAGAAACCCCCTCAGTGTACTGTGGCAAAACCAAAGTGTTCCTGGCCAATTCCATGGTAAGTGCTGTTCCTTGGCTGATGGCTCTGGAGTGCACTTGCCTAATGGGGATCCTGGCACAGTTACCACCACGGTGGAGGCAACGCTCCTGCCAAGCCAGAGGGACCAGAATTTGGCATTTTCCTTCAGATTGTTAAACTACATCAAACCTCCATTAGAATCCAATCTCTGCAGCACTTTGTGTAATGGGCTCTGTGCTGGTAATGGACAGGGAGCTGTACTTGTGTCTAGAACTGTCAGTATCCTCCCAACTCCATAAAGGTTACAGCTTCAGCTCTCAGGTTTGGCTAGGCAGCTTCCTTGGGAAGAGATGAAGGAGACAAAGGCTCTTCTGCCAAGTCTGCAGGATGCAGAGAACCCTCCAGTGGGGGTGGGTTTAAGCTGCTCCTGTGACTTTGGGAGGCTCCACTGCCCCCCCAGATACTTACATTTCATTTACATGTTACCTAACAAGCACTGATGAAGTGCTGCCCCTTCCAAACCCTCATCCTTGGGGGGACACTGGAATGTAGATGTGGTTCCCTGACAAACACCAAGAGGCTGTAGAAGGGTTGTGAGCACAATTCCATCCCTGAGTACTAACTCCAGGCTCCTGTCCCCAATGCAGCTGGAGCTTCTTGAGGCTAGGAGAGCAAAGGTGCTAAATGAGAAAGCATTTTGCATTCAGTGCTGCTGGAGAAGATTTAAACAGAAGAAACTGTTGAGGGAGAGATATTCTGCAACTGTCATCCAAGCAGGTAACGTGACAAGGGCGTGGATGAAATAGAACAAGTGACATTTCCAGTTCCACTGGGTGATTACAGTGGCAGGAGAGGTTAATTGAACGGGGAAAGTTAAGTGCCATCTCTCACACTGTGAGCGAGAGCTCCTGAGATCTGTGCCCTGAGATTTGTTAATTAAACCCTCAGCTGTTCGTTCCTGGTTGGCCAAGATTCGCTTCCGAAGGATGCGCAGAGCTGCCAGCATCATCAAACACAGCTGGAGGACGTGGAGGGTAAGTGCAGTGGGACAGAAAAGCACTGGAATTGAGGGAGCACAGTGTTTGTGGGAGAATCTCCCTCTCAGAGTTACTGCTCTACATCAAGTAAGTACAAAACCAGCACTGTCAGTGCTCCAAAACTCTTCTCCAGGAGAAGAGCAGACGATGGATCCCAGTCCTGTCCAACAGGTTGTTCTGCAGAGTCACCTCATTCCTTACCTTCATGGGACTGCCCCAAAGAGCAGCCAGTCCTTTCAGATTCCCTCTTTTTTTAGACTGTTTTGCAGTTTTAAACTGTGTCTGAACATCTTATTGAAGGATATTGTTGTGCATCTCCTCCTCAGGCAAAAATGGCTGCGTTAGCTGCAGCAGAACTGGATGAAGGGGAAGAAAAAGTGTTCTCAGCTCCTGGAGCCACAGTCATCTCAGGCAAACTGCCTTGTTCTTTGGAAGCATCATGGTCCCTGCAGGCAGTCACCCAGTTCTGGCCTCTGGGGCTCGTGCTGGCTGCTGCACCCGTCAGGGCAACGGGGCCTCGCCGGGCCCTGGCCCTGCTGGCCTGTCTCAAGGGGCTCCAGGACAGCTGCTGCAGGCTGGACAGCTGTTCCCTGGGCTGTGGCATCACTTCCATCAGAGCTCTCCCACAGGTAACAAACCTCACCCGCTCAGTGAAGCTGCCGTGAGTTCCTGGCTCCCCTCAGGAACTGCACGTGGCTGCACTTCACCTCAGGCATCTTGTTGGTTGATTTTTCTGAGGCTGCATGAAATTCTGTGTGCAAGAACTGCTCAGAGTTACCACAAGTAGGCAGAAGCAGTACCAAGTTCAGTGTTAAACACTCAAATCTCCAGAGTTTAAGCTAATTTCAGTTCAAATACGTAGTGGTAGTCTTTGAAGTCATGACTTCTCTGGAGGTTTTCATCTATCCTTACTCACAGCCACCAGTTGCTCATACACTAAAGCACTAAGTAGGTATAGCAAAATTAGCTCCACACGTGGCAAAGCCCTGAGTGACCTCTCCACCTGTTTTCCTTGCAGGGCTCTGTCAGGTTCCACTGCAGGAAGTCTCCCCTGCATTATGCCAACGTCAGCCCCCACAGGGATTCCTATTCCATCTCGGGGTTTAACCAGATCCTGCTGGACAGAAAGGAGCTCCTGCCCACATAGGCTCTGGCCCTGCACACCTGCAGGGCAGGGCTGGCTGCAAACTGCTGCTTTCACACTGCTCAACATCTGCTGCTACCTCAGAGCTTTCACACCACTGCCTTCTACGTATAATGCAATGAATATAACATCCATCAGATTTAGACTGGGGGGGGGGAAATTCCTCCTCTCCACACCTGCACAACTTCCAGGAAATATCAGCACTATGAGGACAATCAATTAAAACAGATCAGGTGCTTTAAGCTATAAATACTTGAACACTGCTGGCACTACCTGGAGAAGGAGGCGGCTGAGAGAACAAATAATGCAAATATTCC